TACATAAATGATAAAGTAAATATTTGTGAGATATGTGTGAGGGAGCTCATAATAATGGTAGGGTAAAGCAGAAAATTAGGGTAGAAGAGAGAAAAGAGGAGAAGATTGTTGCAACAAATTTAGAATTGACTGAGTTCTAACATTCTCAAACTCCGGAAAGAGACTAATTCATACTCAATAACCCTTTTAACAGTATCACCCTTTCACAACATTCACCCTTTATTCAATCCATTCAAACTCTCAACACAACTATTCAACCGCCTCAATGCATAGACTTCTTTTGGGTATAAGTTTCTTTTTCTTTTTTTTTTTTGTTTTATTCCATCTTTTTGTTTCAATAACGTTATTTTGGTCATTTTGGTCGGAAGATATAATATCATAACCAATTGAACATATGCCAGAGGAGGAGGGGAAGCCTCGTCCAGCATTGCTAACGGATGCATCAAAGCAAGAACCGAAGGAAATGGTGAAACCTCCAAGATCATTTTGGAGGAGAAAATGGACTAAATTAGACAAACGAGTTGCTCATGTTATTTTACTTTTGCATCTCCTTTGTATTTTTGCACCATTTCATTTCACCTGGCCTGCATTTCGGGTAGCCGTCACATTACAGATTATCACTGGTCTTTTCGGAATGACTATATCGTACCATAGAAATCTTGCTCATAAAAGTTTCCAAATTCCTAAATGGCTCGAATATTTGTTTGCTTATTGTGGAGTTCACGCTCTTCAGGTTTGCTCTCTTTTTTCTTACCATACATATATTTATGTTTAAAAGATATTCACTTTGATTTTCGTATTGCTTTATGAATTTTAGGGTGATCCAATTGATTGGGTGAGTACGCATAGGTGTCACCATCAATTTGTTGATACCGAGCGAGACCCACATAGCCCTATTCAGGGGTTTTGGATGAGTCATATAATGTGGCTTTTCGATTCCTACACTTTGACCGACAAAGTTTCTCCAAAGTATTCTAGTAATCTTCAGAAGATAGAAAAAAACATGTTTGTATATTTCTCGAAGTATAGAAAACCAGAGAACGTTGGCGACTTGGAGAGACAAACCTTTTATAGATTTATTCACAAGACTTATCTTCTCCATCCCATAGCTCTTGCAGCCATACTCTATACCGTTGGAGGAGTTCCTTTTCTTATATGGGGAATGGTACTATAAAATCACCCCAATTTGTTTTCTTTCAATTACTGATCAATAAATCATGAACGAAAAAATTAACTTTATTGATGTTGATGTTATCAGTGTGTTAGGATCGTAGTGATATTTCACTCAACATTTATGGTGAATTCAGTATGCCACATGTGGGGACAACAACATTGGAGAACGGGCGATTTGTCAAGAAACAATTGGTAATTTCTTTACCACATGTTTAAGTTCAACAATTTCGTGATGAAAGATCGAATCATAACATAACATTTGGTTGATATGGTTAAAGGTGGGTTGGTTTGACTTCATTTGGAGAAGGATGGCACAATAACCACCATGCTTTTAAGTATTCGGCTAGGCTTGGGCTTGAATGGTGGCAACTTGACGCTGGTTGGTATGTTATTAGGTTTTTACAAGTCATTGGATTGGCTACTGATGTAAAATTACCCTCTCCAGCCCACATGCAAGCCCTAGCTTTGAACAAACCAGAGGATCATCTTTTAAAATGATATTATTTTGTCATTGAAATTATTTATTTGCTTCTAATAAAATCGCCATGAAATGTGAAATCAAATGATATCTATAATGTTATTAATTGATGTTCGTAGGATGTGTGATCCTAATATATATGATATTAATAGTTGGAACACCTCGTGAGTATATATATATATATATTTTGTTGATTAGAATGTTTATGTGATTGTTTGGATGTATTAGGTCAGAAATTATACATGCAATGCATGTTAATGACGATGTTGTTATGCATGAAGGATTTTCTGTTACATTAAATAAGTAAACTGCATGTTTTGTTTATGTGGGACTTCGTGCACATATATTATTGTAAAAGAATATTAATACGGGTCTCTTCTTTTTGCTATAAGATTTGTTTACATGAGAGTGAAACATGTATAAGAGATTTTAGTACAGAAAGTGTATGTATGGAATTATGTATACTCTTTCCGTTATTCTCCAAATATTTTGAGAAAAGTTGAGTATTGAAATAGATAGACTTATAAAATGTCTAGAACGGGTCGATTTCTATGCACGAACAATCACTACAAGTAAGAAAAAAGAAAATCAAAACACCATTATACAATCCCTATACACACAAATATGTGATTATTTTATGGTCGTTAACACGAAAAGACGGTATAATTTCCTTTCACACTTATAGATAATTGGCGTAGAGGGCATATCATTATATAACACAATATAATTATCATAAATATAAATAAGTAATGATTATAATTGCTCACACATAAATAATTACTACAATCTCATAAAGTTTACTCCTTATTTATGATGTATGATTATATGCCTCCGATGCTCATTCGATTAGGATTAAGTTTTAATGTATAAGTTATTAGAGGATCATCAACCAACTTCTAATCGTGAATTATTTAGATTGATAAGCTCTAATTGTATCTCATTAATTGATATTAATAGGTTTAATTAATAGGTTATCATGTGGTGACTATTAGAGACACAAGGTATCTCTATTAATGAGCTATCTAGATTGATATAACACCATATGTATCTCAATAATTGGTTGAGACACAAGGTCATTTCTCTCATGTTTGTGTTATAGGTTATCTTGTGGGGATGATGAGAGAGTTCCAACTAACTTCTAATAGGATATCTTGTGGGGACGATTAGAGAGTTCCAACGAACTTCTAATAGGATATTTAAGTTTTACGACAAAAACATATTTAGAACAAGTAGATATTAAATCTGAAGTTTTTATTAACTTATCCCTTTTTTATGTCCGACAAAGATTCAATCTTGTTCTTTGTTGACCCTTCTCTGAATTAAGCCTCATTTGGTTCGTACCCAACCTCGATTCATCAAGAACTTTGAGGATTCGTGCCTCAAGCTCACTGGATGTGCTTGGTTTGGGAAATGGGAAGAAAAATCGTCTCGCTGACGTGTGGGTTTTAACAATATCAGGTTTATTGAGTTGACTTTTAGGATAACAATGAAAGAAGAGAACGTGGATTGCATAAAATCGAACATGGTTTATTGAGGTCGAATCATTTAGATTTTTTTTAAAAAATATTTTTTTTTTGTACGTTTGTGCTTAATTGAACGTGAGTCCAAATATCATAATCTAACTCGAATCATTTGGATTTTTTAAAAAAATATTTTTTTTTTGTACGTTTGTGCTTAATTGAACGTGAGCCCAAATATCATAATCTAACTCGATCATAAATATTTATACCAACTACACGTGACATTATAATATTTCAGAGGAAGAAACCTAAGAATTTAACGTCACCCATCGAGTATTATTTTAATTACTCAAGAATTAATGAACGCACATGCATTCAATAATCAAAGAATTTAAAAGTAAGAATTTTCTAAGGGCCATTTTATCTAGACAATATTATAAACCAACACGTCTATCTAATTTTAATAACATGACATAAAGGGCATCTAAAAAAAATCATAACCATTTTCATGTAATAACAATTCTAAGTCATGAATCAAGTATAAATCATATTTTTTGAAGCTATAATTTAAATGAACCGAATGATTAAATTTTGGTCAAAAGATTCCAAAGATTTAGAACAATCCTCGACCAAATAAAATCAAACCAATCAATCCCCAAGTAAAGGGATAACCCGTGAGCTTTACATCATTAGTTAAGTTTTGGTTTTAATAAAAGTAGCTTCTTATGTTTTTTTTAGAGATACATTAGAAAGAACCAAATCATTCTAGATCGAGTGGCTGCTGTTATGAAGACCATGAATTTGTTTCTCGAATTAGAATTACTTGAAAAAATTATGTGGTTATGTCATTAAAGGTGACATTGACCCTGACAGTTTTACCCGGTTCAGTAGTGAGAAATTTGAGCTAGACTCGAATGCAAGCGAAAACAAAGAAATCACCTATAATGTGCAAACTATTACAACGAACTAGTTAATAGCCCGTCTTTGTTGGCCTCATTCATTTATTCTCTTTATATATTTATAATAAAAGGTCTACTTCCTCCTCTTATCACAAGAAAACAAAAACTTAATTGATAAATCTTAATTTTGATTTTCTTAAATTTTTTTTTTTTAAATTTTAAATTTTAAATTTTTATTTATTTAATGATAATATATCTTTCTCAATTCTTTTGAGGTTCAAAAAGAAAATTAAATTTTTTAAATAAATTATTAAAAAAAGTTTGAGACATAATAAATTTCTTTGTTTAGGGGTGATGTTCTTAATCCAGGTAGGACATATTTTATTTTATTTTTTTAAAATTGATACGGTATCATATTTAATATTTGATTAAAATGGAATTAATATCTATAATTAAAAAATGCTGCCACATGAAAAATAAACAAATAATATTACATGCTATTTAATTTCATTAATCATAACATTCGAAAACAAATTATTAATGATATTCGGAAATGGTTGATATACTGAAAGTAAATTTGAAATTTTGTCCCTTTTATTTTCTTTTATCTAGAAATTTAGACTTATTTTCTCAAGATTCATTTGTCAAATTTTAATTTTATTTCAATTTAAACTTTTATGAATTAACCTCTTTGTAATATTATAGAGATGATTAGCTTGCTATCTACAAGCGAGCCTTCACGGATTCTAATAGCCCACCGAGTCTCTATCTTTTGGAATAACTTTATATATGCATATAATGAGTTGACTAAAAATGTGTATTTCTTTAGTTCTGAACGAGGAAAATGATGGAATAATTGTTATAAATAATAAGAGTAATGATCTAAACGTTCATAATAGAGTATTGGTTTGGTGGGTGGAGAGAATGATTAGATTGAGACTAAAATTGCACTATAAATATAGAGGGTAGAACAGGTGGCTAATTAACTCGAACCACACCAAAGCGCAGCAAAATGGGCACTTCAAAACAAGAATCAAAGCACATGGCGAAGCCTGAAATGCCATTTTGTAGCAGAAAATGGACCAACAGAGAGAAACTTGTTACAGTTACCTTTTCCATTATCCACATCCTTTGCATTTTTGCACCATTCCAATTCACTTGGAATGCGTTTTGGGTCGCGGTTGCCTTATACATCATTTCAGGTCTCTTTGGAATAACTATTTCGTATCATCGAAATCTTTCACATAGAAGTTTTAACCTTCCTAAATGGCTTGAATACTTATTCGCATACTGTGGAACTCATGCATTTCAGGTTTGATATTTTTTATTCTACTTTTTCAAATCTCAAAACATTTTCACTATTACTCGAAATTTTTTATTTATATTTACTTTGTTTGGATTACAGGGTGATCCAATCGATTGGGTGAGTACTCATAGATGTCATCATCAAAATGCTGATACCGAAAGAGATCCACATAGTCCTACTCAAGGATTTTGGTTTAGTTACTTGATATGGTTTTTGGATTCCATAACTTTGACTAATAAAGTTTGTCCAGAGTACTTTATTGATAGTAAGGATACAAAAAAAGGCGTTTTTACTTTGGTTTTGAAGTATGGAAGGCCAAATAATGTTAGTGATTTGGAGAAACAAACCTTTTATAGGTTTATTCATGACACATACATTCTTCATCCAATAGCTCTTGCAATCCTTCTCTACTTTGTTGGAGGAACACCCTTTGTTATATGGGGAATGGTAAATTAAAATCTCTCTCTAATTCTTTTCCTTTCCTTTCAGTTATCGTAATAGAATTTCTATTCATTTTGCAGTGCGTGAGGATCGTCATGTTATTTCACACAACCTTTATGGTAAATTCAATTTGTCATTCATGGGGAAAACAACCATGGAACACAAAAGATTTGAGTAGAAATAATTGGTCAGTTTTTTTTTTATTTTTTTATTGTTAAGGTTTATTTGTTGTATCTTGCAATTTATTAGGGTTCTTTGTGTTCTTAGGTGGTTGAGTTTGATATCATTTGGAGAAGCTTGGCACAATAATCATCATGCATTTGAGTATTCAGCTAGGATTGGGGTTGAATGGTGGCAGCTCGATATTGGTTGGTACGTTATTTTGTTTCTTCAGACCATTGGAGTGGCCACTGATGTAAAACAACCCTCTCGAACTCACAAGCAAAGGCTAGCTATGGACAAACCAAAAGAAGGCGTTTCAAAATCATTAAAATAATTTTTTTAATTTCTTCAATAAATATTTGAGAATTGAAAAATTAATTATGCCTAATGTTTGTGTGCTTTGTTTAGAAGATTTAATTCAGTTACCTGTTACCAAATTGATGTATTATTATGTATGTCAGATGTGAATAATGGCCTAACGTATTTTTTATCGAATGCTTGGTTCCGATCTTATGTATGTTGAACTTTAAATATATGCATATATGCATATATCATATCTAATTTATATTAAGATAATTACTCCATATATGTCATGAGGCTCATGTCTTGATTACATAACGTCTTCCCGTACTCAACAAGAATTCATGTGGGTCTTTATTTGCATAAAATAATTTAAACTTTCGAAGAGTTGAAAGTAGTAGGAAAGAATCGGAACGTAATAGACCCAAGTCAAATCTGATTAGGTTCAAACCCATCAGATGGAATGAAAGGAAGCAAGGTACCTCGTATTATATTCGACTAGCTTCAAAGAGTTCAAGTGGGATGAAATTAAGCAAGGAACTTCTCTTTTATAGTGGAGTCGAACTCCCCACTTCTTCAACATAATCGACGTGGGACAATTTTTTTATTTTTTTTTATTTTAATTTTCTCATGATTCTATATGAAGTATGTCATGATATAAATTGGATTCTAGCCCTCTCACGGCCTGATGGGTAGTTTTGGAGCATGGGTTTTAGAACACAAATGATTAGCTTTGAACTTTATAAACTAATATAACCAAACTAATTAGGTATGAAATTGTGAAGAGTTAATTTAATCTTTAAGCCAAATGAATGAGCCGCCAGCTGTTACAATTATTTGAATCTCCACCCCTAACCCAAACCTATTAGCTATTGTAATGGAGAATTAATTAAATTTAAACCAAGTGTGGTTGACTCTATGAGAAACAAACAAATGCTATAACATATCATCACCTCTAAAATATTCAATTAATTGTCGCACCTCGGGTGAGTACTCAATCTATTCCTGAGTCCACTACTTTGATATTAGATTGTTGTTGTTGCAGCATTACTTGAACGCGGTCACGAAGTTCAATAAGGAAAACCAAAGAAAAATTATGCGAGGAAGGTGAGGGGGTTAAACTATTTGAATCCACTCAACCAGCTCGAACTCATTTTCTTGAATTTTTAGCTAGTTTTGATTATAATTTATAGTTTGATAGGTAAAAAGGAAAAGTGAACTTTTGTATTTTTCACAACTATTTAGGATTGATAGCTACAAACTCACGCTTCATGTATATATTACGTATGATATGTGTGCCATTTTAATCTTATATTTTGGGTCGGAACTGTTAAGTGGTCTCGACTATCTTCTTGTAGTGAACTTTTCTAGTTAAAAGAACAGATCTACATGAGTATTGTAATAGTTGACAAACTCAGGCTGCTCAACTCACAATTATGGTTATTGTACTACATGGAGATAATAGAGAGTCGTCGACTAATGCTTTGAAATGAATTGTCTAGATTGGCCGTGTTTGTATATGCACCAGAGTTAGATTAATTGTCATGTTGTACTTCATATAGCTAGAGACCATAATTCACAATGATTGTTAAATGTAACAACCCATTCTAAGACATATCATGATTTAAAATTCAGATTCGCTTAATCATCCCAAACATTTCTCTGCTTGCAACATGATCATTTTAAGAAATTTTTTTTTGGAGGTCATCTAAAATAAATTGCTTTAAGAAAATCATGTTTAACTTTAAAGTTTTTATGAATAAGCTACAAAAAAAAAAAAAAAAAAAAAAATGCACTTTTGATGTAGAAAATCACTACAAGGGGAGTAAGATTCGGATTATCTTGTTGATCGAATATCTCATGGCAAGAACATTGTTTGAGATTCAAATCACTTCACAAGCAAGATTGATCATGTCTAGCTTAAATGATTCTTGTTGATAAAAAATCAACGCAAGAACACTTGTTAGAGATTCGAATCACTCCACAAGCAAGATTGATCATGTCGAGCTTGAATGATTCTACATACAACCTAAACTACATAGAATTGCAAAGAAACTTAGCCATTGACTAAAGAAAAGTACAAATGTTTCTTTTACTATATTTTCCAAGTCTGCTTACAAATACAACATATATCTTTATATAGCTTCAAAATGAAACTATTAAAGACATTCTAAAAGTTGTAACATTTATACTTAATAACCATAATTAACCAAATTATTGGAAGCTCACTCTATGCCCAAATCAATTGGTCTCATGTTCATTTCTAACACCATGATTTCAATAGTTACGATAGTTTGTAGTTATAAAATTTTCCTTCAACAGCCACTGTAATCACCTTATTTTTTTCTATTAAAATATAAATGCCACTGTATGCTTTTTATTTATTTATTTATTATATATATATATCATTTAAAACATTTCCCAACAATGGATTTAGACATTTGCATAATTAATTAATAGAAAAGTAAACATCTATTAAAAAAAAAAAACGACAAAACAAAAAAACATTAAACTTAAAACTCTAACCTAAGAGTTACAACTAAAATAAAAAATGCAACTACTTAGCTTTGTTTCTATGACATTCACAACAACACTGTTTTCTTTACGGAGTTGTTTTACTTTAACTTTGACATTTATAAGCCTCAAACACTTTGAATCGTGGCTGTTCTAATTTTTTTTGTCCACCTCAAATAATTGTCGCACCTCCCGTTAGTACTCAATCTATCCCTCGATCTTCGACCGAGTCCACTACTTTAACCTTAGATTGTTGTTGTTGCAGAATTACTTGAATGCTGTCACGAAGTTCAATAAAGAAAACCCAAAGAAAATACGTGAGGAGATATGAAAGAAAGAATATGAACTTGAACCTTCAAACACTCTTTTACAAGGTAAATAGAATAAAATAAGTGTTTGATTGAACTTGGTCTCAATTCTTTTCTTTTCCTTTAAACACGATAAACGAAAAAAAACTCAAAAATTTGCAAACTTTTAACTCATTTTCTTGAACTTTGAGCTAGTTTTGATCTTACTAAGTTTTGGTCAGATTTTATGGTTTGATAAGGAGTATCATGAATTAAAAAGGAAAGTGAACTTGGTATTTTTTTCACAACTATTTAGGATATTTTCTTGAGCTCATTAGATTATTAAAGAAATTTTGTAACGGTCCAGACCCACTGCTAGCTGATATAGTCATTTTTGGGCTTTCCCTCAAGGCTTTAAAATACATCGGCTAGGGAAAGGTTTTCACACGTTTATAAAAGGGTGTTTCGTTCTACTTCCCATATCGTAAATTCTGTGTGGGATATGTGATTGAGAGCGTGTTAGATTGTCGAAAGACTTAATAAAAAAGGTCGTTTGAGAATTCTGATTAAAGGGTTACCTATTAACCTCTAACGTTAACGGAATACATGAGTATTGCAATAGCTGGTAGACTTAAGCCGCTCAACTCACAACTATAATTATTGTACAATATAGAGATATTAGAGAGTCCTCTATTAATATCTAGGAATGAATTGTCAAGATTTAGATTAGGATTTGAAACTTAGATCATGCATCAATGGCTCTGTGCATTTTCCTGCATCCGTTGCAACAAGGTCATCCTAAGAAACTGTTCATGTGGTTACCCAACCTAAATTTGTTAAAGAAAATCAGGTTTAATTTTAGAATTTCTACAATTGAGTTACAAATTATATTGTTTATAAATATTTTCAACTCATCTTAAAATATTACATCACATAACAATAAAAAAAGAGACTTTTCAAGCGTGGAAACTTTAGGACCAGTCATATTTGACATGTGATATTTACATCAAAACTAAGGCATGTTAAAGTCAATATGATATATATATAATTGTTTTTAAAAGAAGTGAAAACAATTATTTTAAACGAATAATTCATTATGATTATTATTGTTATTAATAATAATTAATACTACTATTATATTTGATAATCAATATCATATTTGACTAACTTGTAGCAGGTATATGGCACTTAAATAAGCTATACATTTATTTGGTTGGAAAAGCCTTATATTATTACATTGTGACTTACAAGATGCACTATAAATGCATATGCAAGGGGTGGTGAAGCCTCCTCAACTAAAGCAATCCCAATCCCTCTCTAATGGATGCATCAATAGAACCAAAGAGAATTGTTAAGCCTCCAATGTCCCTTAGGAAGAGAAAATGGAAAAAGATAGACAAAAAATTGGCTTTTTCTTTTTTCTTCTTGCATTTTCTTTGTATTTTTGCACCATTTCAAACCAACTTGGGTGCAGTTTCAATTTGTTTTTGTTTATTTATCATTACAGGTCTGTTTGGCATCACTATTTCGTATCATCGAAATCTTTCTCATAAAAGTTTCAAAGTTCCCAAATGGCTTGAATACTCGTTTGCTTATTGTGGAGTTCATGCACTTCAGGTTTTACATGATACCCTTTATTCTTTTATTATTAGAAGTGTCAAATTCGATGTATTGAAGATAGATTTTATAAGCTGGTTGATAATACGACATTTTTAATTCTTTTTAAATTTAGGGTGATCCGATCTATTGGGTGAGCACACATAGATATCATCATCAATTTGTTGACACTGAACAAGACCCACATAGTCCGATTAATGGATTTTGGTTTAGTCATCTCATTTGGTTTCTCCATAAGTGGGATGAAAGTGCAAGTGAAATGGTTGCAAGGCATGAAAAGTTGGATAATGCTAAGGATTTGGAGAACCAAACTTTTTACAAGTTTATTCGCAAAACATATTTTCTTCATTCAATTGCCCTTGCAGTCATACTTTATGGCATCGGAGGCATTCCTTACTTCATTTGGGGAACGGTAAAAATATTTACCTCTGGTTACAAATCTATCATAACAAAATAAATTAAAGTATTGATATAGTTATTACTAAAAACAAAAAAAATGAATGACACATTATTATTATTATTATTATTTTTTTTTTGTGTTAGATAGTGTGTGAGAACCGTAATGCTTTTTCATTCAACGTTCATGGTAAATTCAATATGCCATATGTTGGGAAAGCAACCATGGAAAACAAAAGATTTATCGAGAAATAATTGGTATGTATCATTGTTAAGTAAATGATTATCAAATAAATTTATTTTTATTAAGTAATGGACGTTTGTATTCATAGAATTATATCTTGCTATTTGC